TCGAACACGCCTAAAATCCAGAAAGCCCTTCTGGACCGAGGGGAAGAATCTCCTGGACCAGGATTTCAACACCTCCGACGCCTGGAAAGATTCTTGGCTAAAGAACCCTCCAAAAAACGGTCTTTCACTCATCGAAGACCCAACAGTGGAAGTCCCTGGCATGGACCTCCCCAGGCGAGAGTGGATCACCCTCAATCGCCTCCGCACTCTACACGGTAGATGCCAAGACTCTCTCTTCGTATGGGGCCTTACCAACTCCCCACTCTGCCCATGTGGTGATAACCAAACTATTAATCACATCGTGAATGAGTACTCTATTTTTTCCTTCCAAGGAGGTTTCCCGGACCTACACCGTCTCACTGACGAGGCGTTGATATGGATCCGGAACCTCCCTTTCAACCGAGGGTCAGTCGGAGGTTAAGCAACGGTTAAGAAGGAGCGTTTCGTCGCGAAACTTCATTTCTCTGCTCGACATCAGATGGAAGAGCGATCGGCAACAAATGATGTTGCTCATTTCATTTTTCCCTTTCCTCGTTTCTTTTTACCCTTTCCTCGTTTCTTTTTGCCCTTTCCTCATTTCTTTTTACCCTTTCCTCATTTCAGGTGATTTTGGATTTTTTTCCATTGTCTCGTGCGGCGTTTTCTGATGACACGAGGGAAAAATATGCTCTCTTGCTCAGACCTTTATATAAATAACATTAACTGGTAACGGTACGTTTATTTCCCATATGGTCTCCAAATCAGATTGAAACGAGGCGAATTCCTGCATTTATTGACTTGGATGATCCAATGATCACTGTGATCCAATGATGATCTATGATGATCATGGTGAAATCGGGATAATCAAGGTCTGTTTGTGACAATTCCAGGACAATTGTTCTCCAGTTGGATTTCTTCTTCTGACGTGGTCACTTCTGCCGCCAGGTGCGAGACTGCCGAGACTTCGCCTGGGATCTTCCTGGAATCTTCCTGGGGAAAATCCTGGAATCTTCCTGGAATCTGCCGATTCCGGATGTCGTCGTCGGATCGTGATGCATCTGTGGCGTGTGGGTTATTTTCAAGCTTCTTCGTGAATGATAAATTTGTATTGTTTTGTGTCTTACCTGCTATGTCCAGTTTCGTGCAATGAAGTCAGTTGAATTCCCAAGAACAGGTTTCATTATTGTGTGATGCGAGACGGGAAGAGCATGTGAATGGGAGGGAAAAGAACGTCGGAGCAGACGATGCGGATGACGTGACGAAAGAGCAGACGATCCTTGTGACGTCCACCTCCTCAGCAGGGGATACACTTATATAGGTCTGAAAGAACCTCCTAAAAGTAACCTCCTTTGGTGGCCGTGGGGGTTACGCGTCGGAGCCGTCGAGCTCCCGTTGACGTCATTCAACCTGCACTCTAACGACTAGAGTTCGAATCCCTGCCTCGCCGCTTCTCCTTTTCCCCGGGACCAGCTCGTCAAAAGCCCGGGCGAAAGCGTAAACTTAAGGGAAACAGAAGTAACGTTAAAAGTAAACCCGGCGGGGGGGGAGGGCAGGGATCGTCTGCGGTTGACCCACGGCCAGAACCAAAGGAGGGTGTTTTGCATCTGCAAAATTTCATTTTTTGCCGTCACGTGTGTCCTGCCCAACAAAAAAAAATTTCATGCCAATGAAAATACTCCTTGAGTAAATAATACTTTATTGCTCAATTTTTTTTGCAAGCTGCCACTGCACAGATAACATTTGGAGGTTCAGTTGTACTCCGGTAGATGGCGGACTGTGGAGCCTCGTGCTGCCATCTACCGCGCTCGCTCGCGACTTCGCTCCATCGTCGCCATCGCTGCGAATGGGAACTGCAATTAATCGCAAAAAAAACAGCGCAAAAAAAATTTGCCGAGATGGACAAGCGCGAGGAATGCAGACGGAGAGACGTTCTGGCATCCCTGGCATCCCCAGCATCCCTGCCAGCTAAGAAGATAAATGTTTGCCAATCTGTCAGTGGAGAAATGCGGACCTCCCCATTCAACCTCCCTCAAGTTTTGCAAATATAAATTACGGACTCGAAATAAATGCCAAATTGATCATTTCCTTTTTTTTCCCATTGGAAACTGATAACTTGAATTTTCGATTTCAAGAAAATCATTAAACTTGAATTTCCCTAAACCTTCAAAATCTCTTGGAAATTTTCGCTCAAATTTTTTTTGGCTCCAAAAAAAAATGAAAGAACTTGAGCGAAAATAAACCCCCGTTTTTGCATGCAATTAATTGTGCAAATTTTCTCCTGCTATAATTTTGTTCACATCGCAATCAATCGGCGTCCGGGACACATCAAAGCCAGGTGGACGATCTTCAGCAGGGATTATCTTCAGCAAGGATTATCTTAAGCGGGATTACATTTGGCAGAAAGGATAATTGGCGAATAAGAAAGCTTCGGTTCGTGCGAATTACAGAGCCGTCAAAAAAAAACAAACACGGCCGGGAGAGTATGCCAGCAGATGTTGACGGAAGCCCTCACCGTGCTAATCGAAGCCCTCACCGTGCTAATAGAAGCCCTCACTCTGGAAGGAGGAAATCGTGGGCGGCCTCCTTTTTTTTTCTTCTTTTTTTTTTGCTCACTTGGCAAAACGAAAGAAAAACAGACGGAAAGAGAATTTTTTTTAAAGGGACTTTCCGCTCCGATCCACGGAGGAAAAGTGGCAACCGAAGGAAAAGTGGCAACCGAAGCTCTTTTTTTTTAAGCCTTTATCAACCTTACCTCGTGCCTGGCAACAACGGTAAGAAAAAAAAAAGGGGAGGGAAGAGGGAAGAGGGAGGAGGGAGGAGGGAGGAGGGAAGAGGGAGGAGGGAGGAGGGAAGAGGGAGGAGGGAGGAGGCCGAGACAACCAAATTCGATAACGTTTGAGACCTTTGGTTTTTGCGGTGCCGCGATGCTCTCAGGAGAAAATAATAATAAAACTCCAGCTTCATTAGCGTCGTGTCGATGTCGATACCAGCGGGCAAAAATGCAATTTCGGGAACAATATGGAATAACCGGAACGAAATGGAATATCCGGAACGAAATGGAATATCCGGAACGAAATGGAATATCCGGAACGAAATGGAATATCCAGAACGAAATGGGTTCAGCAATGGCGGAAGTGCCGAACCGGTTCTCAACCGGTTGAATCGGATTTTCCTCTCCTTGTATTACAAGGGAAAAGAGCCATTGCTTCCCGTCTTCTTTAGTGTTAGCCGATATATCTATTTCGCTTTCCTCGGGCTATTTGTCAAGATCTTTCGTTATCAGTTTTCGGGGTTCTTGATGGCCGGGCCGGCGTGCCATAAGTCAGCGTAGCTCGAATGGGGTTCGCAAGTGCGTCGCTCCGGCGAGATTCGATGGAGATTCGGCTGCGAGTGGAGTCTTAAGTCGTCCCTGCAGCAGATTGGCCAAAAAGAAAAAAAAAAGACTCAGTCTGGAGGATAGACCAGGTTGGTTTTTTTTGTCCGTCTCTCTTAATCGATTCGATGCAGCGGTGTGGCCGGGGATTTCTGGATTTCTTCAAAGTTCCTGGATATTCCTGGGGAAAGCGTTCTTACAGGCCGAAGCTTTTGAGAAGGACGCCTCTCCTCATTAAAACTTGGAAAGAGAGCGAGAAATGATGACACATTTTGCATTCAATAGGCGAAAATACACGCACTAGAAAAAGTAAGTCAAATGAAGCCGCCATCGACCGATGACGGCGTGGGAAAGGATTCATATGTCCATAAAGGCCATAAAGGGGATGAAGGGGGAGTGGAGGTGAGGCAGGCGGGGAGGAGGAAGGGGGGAAGGTGTGAGGTAGGAGGGATGAGGGAGGGATGAGGAGCAGGGAGGAGCAGTCACAAAGAGGAGGATAGGGCAACTCTCCGAAAGAAGGGGCCTGAGGACAGCTACGATAAGGGAGGAGAAAATTGCCCTCGGTTCTTGTTTTTTCCTTCCTTTTTGGCAGTTCATTCAGAGTCAATTCAGAGTCGGAAATGCAAGAGTCTTCATTTGTCGGGATTAAACAATGGAATAAAATCTGAAATGGGCGTGAATAATGGAACGATAACAATATATGCACCGAATGTTGCCATGTTTATGCCTTTCGCGGTCGCTACCTTGGATCAGGACTTAAAGGTCCCGAACACGGAATGACGAAGGTCGACTTTCTTCTATGGAGATCATCAAGCACCGAAATGAAAATTTTCGGGGAAAAAAAGTCCGGAGCGAGAAGTCCCTCAGAAAACACAGTGAATCTAGGAATGAGCCAGCCCACGGAAAAAGTCGAGTCTCTGAATTGTCCGAAGTCAAGTAACATCAGGCAACTGTCCTTCATCCCTGGCAATATATTTTTTTTTCTCCCCGTTAAGTGCTCTTGCCTCCAGTCAGAAGCCCTTATCCCCTGGTCCATTGCCCTTTCCCCCCAGTCAATTTCCCTTTTTCATGGACCGTTGCCCTTTTCTCCCGTCGATTGCCCTTTTATCCAGTCAATTGCCCTTCTATTTTTACATACTGTTAGTCTGACGACACAATGTCCGAGATGAATATCTCTTTCCTCGCCCTCCACGGCCTTCCTCGCCCTCCACGGCCTTCCTCGCCCTCCACGGCCTTCCTCGTCCTCACTGTTCGTACCGAAGACTTATGAGGTTGTGGATGTAAAAGAAGTTGTTTTTTCGCGAAGTCCTAATCCTAATCCGATCTCGCCCGAGATGATCTCATTCCCGTCGACATCGATCATCATCATTGGGTGGCAAAAACCTCGCCGGCCGGGCGAGAAATTCTCTTGGAGTAATCGCCTCGGATTTTTTCATTCCTTAGTCTCCATCCCGCCCAATTTCATGCACGAATTCCTAAAGGAAGGAAATACCAAATTTTGATCCCAGCTTTGAAGCAGCTTCCGCGAACGTCACGATCCTCTCTTTGCTCTCCAAGTCGGGCTCCTTTTTCTTCTAGCGTTCACTCTCTAATCCTCGCTTCGTCCTCGCTTCCACAATGCTTCCTACAGTACTACTGATACAGTACTAATGCTGCACAGTGCAGCACAGTAGAAGCCAACGCCATTCTTGAGGCCAGGATGGTTTAGTTCCTTTTAGTTTAGTTTTAGTTTAGTTTTCTTCTGGAAAAACACTAATATTACCGATCTGAGCATGAAATGAATTCGAAGCTTCTTCACCGGCTTTGACTTTGGCTGATGCCCTTTATTGGCCATCGTCGCAAGATGCGAGGCAGGAAACACCAACTTCATGGAAAAGACAGGACGGGGCTCCCTGACTGGAATGGGCTCCCTGACTGGAAGGGGCTCCCTGACTGGAAGGGGCTCCCTGACTGGAAGGGGCTCCCTGACTGGAAGGGGCTCCCTGACTGGAAGGGGCTCCCTGTCATCTCGCCGAGTGACGATTCCCAGAATTCAGCTCGTCGAGAATTTCTTTCGACTTGCCGACTCGCGATCCGCCGATTGTTCACCTCGAACGCTTAAAACTCGGCGAAAATTCGTAATTGACCTCGAAGAGGGGCAGAAATCATTCCTGCTGACTGGGGTATGATGGATGGACTCATACTAGTGTGAGTCCACCTGAGCCTTCGCGAGCTTAAGGGCACCGGTAAGACGTTTCGTGAAGACCTTCGGCATCCGCGCACCCAGCTGGAACCATTTCCAATATTTCATCAAGGCAGCGAGTTGAATATATGGTGAGTTCTAATCGGTAGGATATCATTCGAGGAGTTGAGCATTCGAGTTGAAGAATCGATGGAATTTGACGGAATTTAAAATTCCATGAATTGAATAATCGGTGAATTGACTTCGGGGAGTTGTCACTCGGCCAGCTAAGCGTTCACCGTGGAAAGGAAGAAAGCATCTTGACCATCTCGTTCATCATCATGACATCCCAGCGTCCCAGAAACAAAAGGAGGTGGGGAGGGGAGGGGGAGAGGGGAGGGGGAGAGGGGAGGGGGAGAGGGGAGGGGGAGAGGGGAGGGGGAGACAGGTGAAGAATGAGCTGAGATAGAAGGGTCAGGCTCGATTGCCTCTCGTTTCCCGTTTTATCCGTTTCCATTATATTTTTCTCATACTGGATGCAGTGAGCTGCATGGCTGGGGGTCGGGTGCTTCCCGCGCCATCGTCGTCTCTAACCTCGGTGCCTTCATCATAACTGAATCTTGGTGCCTTCATCTCAGCGACCCCTCATGAGCGAGACGCCTCAGGAGAAATGATATTTTGGGCCCATACTGCTGATTGTACCACTAACTGCCCTATTACTTTTGGGCCACCCAGTATTTCCACCGAGAAGGAGGATGTGTGCAGAGATATGACAAATTAGCGC